AAAATCAGAGCTTATTTAATATACTTGTCTGATATGTCAGATTCTGAATTACTGCCATGATGAGAAATAACAGTGAACATTTCAGGCTTTTATCTTTAATAGTTCCTCAGATGTTGTGATTCAAACAGCCTCCAGCTTTAATGACATTTTAAATGTGGGTTGACGGGCAATTTTTGGATTATCTCTGAAATTATTTCATACATCAAGCTGAAATTTTCCAAAAAAATCTGGAAAAATCAGACAGTCGAGCAGAAATTGTTCAATGATTTGAGACGATAACCCACTTTGGAAAACTGGGCAGCACATTTACTCACATAACAATCACAAGGCAGTGTTTTGGGTCCCAGAAATAAACTTGTGTGTGTTCAGGCTGGTCTATGAAATCACTGCATTGACAGGTGCACTGAAGAATCCCTCAGACACATTTGGGAGATCTGTGGATTCAGCTGCATTGTTATTCTGGGAGGCGGTGCTGACGTCTGTGTTTCTACTATTTTGTCCGCTGCTGTATTTACTAAAAGTCAGATTTTCTGTTGAAGTAGATAATGCGTCACGCTCATTATGCCTGATAGGGAACTTGATTACACATTTGCTAAGTTGGATCATATATATATAAATATTAAAAAACCACCATAAATAGTGACTATTATGAGCTATTTACTCTGCTAATTTGTCAGCAATGATGTACGAGCTGCACACGGGCGACACCGGAGCCAAAGCAAATAAAGAACGAGACACGGCAACACAACCGCACTTGTTTGTTTAATCCTGCAGAGTGTTTGCGGCGCTGTCTGCCAACGGGAAGCTCCTGGACGCCACATCAGTGGGAGTCGACGGGGCGTCAGATATATCAGACTCCCGCTTCCTGTCTGACCGGGAGGAGGCTTCGATTTGATATTTGTCACCAGGTGCTGACACCAGACTGACGGTTTGAACCCGTCGCTAAAGGTGAGCGTCATCCTCTCAATCAAAAACCCTCCTCCGTTACTCTCCTCTGTCACTCTGTCTGAATGCAGAGCAGCCACTGTAGTGTTTTCGCCTCCTGTCTTCGCATCACATCAGACTACAATGTACACAAACTGGCTCACACACACTGTCGTGACCCGTGTGTCTTGCCTCAGCACATTAATGGAGATTCTGGCAGAGCCTCAGCGAGGAATTACTGCCACTCGCTGAGTCCTTACACTGGCTGTCTATCACAAACACACACACACAAAGACCTTCAATGGTCGCTCACACTCTCCCTCTCGCTCCCCCTGACCTCATTTATCTCCTTCGCTTCAAACCATTTCTCACTTCTTCCATGGCTTTCACTGCACTGCTCCATTCACTCGCTGCAGCTCGCTCTCATTCAGGTCAAACGTGCATTATTGGCACAAAGACACACACTAAAAAAAGCACTTTTTCCACCTTTGTTTCACATTTAGAGTCTGAAATACTGACTTCTGGCTGCTTATAAATCAGCCCGTTGGTTGCTCCACGGACAGAATTGTTGACCTACCTCGGTGAGGTGCGGGTTGGGGTTGAATCCGCACTGGTTGCAGACGGTGGCCTTACACTGGGTGCAGGTGTTGTAGTTGGGTACGGCCGGTGGGTTGGACAGCTCCGTGGTGGTGCACACCGGGCACAGCTTGCTGCTCGGCATGGGCGCGATCTGGGGCACCGAGTAGGGCGAGGTGGGCGTCACGCTGCGGTCAGGGGACGCCGAGGGAGACCGGCCGGTTCTGGAGCCGCTGAAGTCGACCTGGAGGTTTCGGCGGGAGGCGTGCTGACCGGGGCTCTGGCCTCCGTGGACTCCCATGCCGGCCGGACCGTGGCCTGGACCGTGACCTGGACCGTGACCTGGACCGTGACCTGGACCGTGACCTGGACCGTGACCTGGACCGTGGCCTGGACCGTGACCTGGACCGTGGCCCATCCCGTGACCGGAGGCCGGGCCCTGGCTGGACTGCATGTGTCGAGGGGAGGTCGGGCTCTCATGGGTGGCCAGGCGGTACGGCTCGGCAGCTCTGGACCCGATTCCTCCACCGGTGCCCATGCCTGCCCCTATTCCTCCTCCACCCATACCTCCTCCACCCATACCTCCTCCCATTCCTCCTGCTCCCATTCCACCCATTCCTCCCATTCCACCTCCCATTCCTCCCATTCCTCCACCCATTCCTCCCATTCCCCCTCCTCCATGGCCTCCTTGTTGCATGCCAGGTTTGGGACTCCCCATTGGACCCATTGGACCCCTGGAGAAAAGAGAAAGAGCAAAAGAAAAGACGTTGTTTAGAATCAGACGACAACTTTAGAAATTGTGGTAAATTCTTAAAAATCATCTCAGATTTTGCAATCCATTCATTTCTTATACATCGCTTTATCCTGTAGAGGGTCACTGGGTGGCAGCTATCAACACTAACAGAAGGCAAAGGATCACCAGTCCATCACAGACAACCATACATGTTCACACTGAAGAACCTCAACATGTCTTTGGACAGTGTGAGAAAGCCAGACGCCTGTTAAAAAACCAACAAAGGCCATGCAAAGGCCCCAGATGAGGTTCAAATCCAGGACCTTAGCTGTGAGGTGACTGCACCCCCATCATCCATCCATCCATCCATCATCTATACACTGCTTAATCCTCACTAGGGTCATGGGGGGCTGGAGTCTATCCCAGCTGACTTAGGGCGAAGGCAGGAGACACCCTGGACAGGTAACCAGTCTATCACAGGGCTACACTTAGAGACAGACAACCAAGCACACTCACATTCACACCTACGGACAATTTAGAATCACCAGTTAACCTCAACATGTCTTCGGACAGTGTGAGGAAGTCAGACGCCTGTTAAAAAACCCACTAAGGCCATGAAAACCCAGGACCTTAGCTGTGAGGTGACTGCACTAACATGCCAAAAAACTGTTTAATTAAAACGACGCATCGTGAAGACCCACAGGAAGTGTTAACACGATGTGATTCTGCCAATTTCTAATTTCTGTGAGTCAATATTAACGATTAAAAGGTTAAAATGAGCTAAATTCAACCAGAATCCCAGCAGTGACAGCAACAGTCTGAATGATGGTACTCAATGCAAAGGACTTGGGTTTGATTTTGATTCTTACCCTGTTCAAAACCAAAAATACTGCAGCAAGCATGTAAAAAAATCCCCCCAAAAAAACACACAAATGGGGTTCTTTGCACATCTTCCAGCAAAATGCACCTAAAGCAGGTGTTTTTCAGCTCAAGGATTTTCAGAGGACAAACAGTGTCGGCTGGATGGAGCACACTGCTTAATGTACAGCCTCTTATTGTATAAATACACCAACATGTCAACACTGCTGAGCCTTCATCAGAGTCCAAATGGACAAAGACATCAGGCAACGCAGATATTCAACCTAAACCAGCTGTCATTGGATAATTGGTTTAACAGTATTTCACATCCATTGGATGATAAATCCTGAGGGGGGAGTTGCTGTGTCCAGACACCACACCCCCAACACCATGATATAAACACAGGAAAACACACCTCTATTAAAGAGATACAGGTACAAACTGGCAGAAAAAACATCTGTTAAAGGTGCTAGAGTGGAGGAAACATGACAGATCTATTAGTTATTTCCTATGAGAAAGGGAACATCCTGTAATGAACAAAACAAACCTCTCCTAAAGTTAAAAATAGGTCAGATATAGTTGAATTATGATGCCACCTGCAGCACATTTGTCTCTTTAGAACAAAGATTCTACTAAACCAGCAACTCACCACAAAAACAAAATAAATAAATTCCTTTACAACCCCCCAAAAACCCATCCTGTGTCAGTGTTCATGCAAATATATACAACGGATTAAAAGCTGAATACAGTTATAGATTGTTAGGTTTTTGTTTCTGCTGGTGTGGAAGAGAAAATGTAATAATAAGCCGGGCCGGTTGATGCTGCCCGACTATTTAATGGAAAAAAATTCAATTTTTTTAATGCATTATTAAGTAAACGATCACTGCTGGAGAATTCAGGCTAGTAATTGTCACTGTACTCCAACAAATTCAATTATCTCCTCACTGCAGCTTTAAAAATAAAAAAAAAAGCAAAAATAATTACTGATTCATTCACTGGTGAACGCTGTGGAAGGAGCTCCGAACATCCACCGGCATCAACAGATTAAAAGTGGAACACAACGGGCCGCACACACTCGTTCACATTTCCACCGCGTGTCAAAGACGACATGCGCTCGTTCACCTCAGGCGCAATACAACACATTCATTCACTTGCAGGCAGGAGGCACCGACGCACACCTGAGGGGGAGCAAAATAGTACAAAACACTGCCTGAGGACACCTTTAAATTATTAAACAGAGTTAACAATGAAATGTCTCTTTGGTTGCTGTCTTTTCGCGTGTGCACGGGTTGGAAAAAAAACCTCAGACCCGCTGTGTTGTGAGCTGTTTGTTCGATACAGTTTGGAGATAAATCAACATTTTACTTTGAAAATTCAAATGAAACCAGCTCTCTCCATCTTTCTCCATGCCTGAGAGTTAACGCTGACGCCTCTGGACAGGAAATGTTTGTGACCCAAGCAAACAGCACCTCGAAAACAGATGTGACTGTAGTGAGATGACGATCCTGCTCTCCTGTGTGGCGGTTTTTATCTTTAACAGGGAAGAAAATATATTATTCTGACAGCTAATTTGAATTTGAGATATCTTTTTAAAAATCCTGGTGATGCATTTAACAGTAAATCTTTTAAATTATGCAAAGCTGATGTTTGTTTCCTTGTGTGCCTGTAAATGTAGTTTCCCCAAATGTAGTGTTCTTTATTAGTGTAGTAAAACAGTTTATCTTCCGTACAGTGTTGGGACAAGAGGTCTAGATAAGGACACACTTTCAATTCTCTTATTTGGGAATGTTCTGTGACGATATGGGTCGCTAGTCTGTGCTTCAAATGGGTAACGCCACTATTTTCTAATGTACCATCTCTGTGGTTGGATCTTGTTAAATGCAGGAAGCTAAAACTACCCGGTTAGGGTCGAGGAAAGACTTTGAGGACATGGTTTAAGTCAGAAATGGATTCTTGGAGTGTTTGCAAATTCATCTGCTGTAAGTGGAAAGTATCTCTGAATACCTACAATCTGAGTTTGTTAGGAAACAGGAATCATATTTGCATATTCAGAGATTCTGGATGTGTGATTGAGGAAAGAATGATCACGAACCAAGTGGAAAACCATATCAGACACAATGGAGAGTGTTTTTAAACCTCTCCAAACATCCCTAGAGGGAATCTTTAGGGTGCCATCAATGTGTTAAATACCAATGAAAGCATTAAGGCAACCAACCAGTCTTTTTTTCGCAATTCTTGTCTTGGGGATGGATCCAAATGCAGACACCACGGATGGGCAAGTAAAAGAAATATGAATTAAAGTTACTCAGGAGGTTGTAACGCAGGATGACAGGGGAGTAAATCCAGGAAAATACTAACTAGTAGGTCAAAAAAGACATGTATGTATAAAGAAACTAATTCAAAGAAGCCAAAAGTTTTTTAAAAGGCCCTTAATTGGAGGCCCTGGTTGAACCGGGAGTTCAACCAGGGGGGCGGCAACCGGGTTCCAAAACAAACCTAAATGCAGGTGAATGAGGCCGATAAAAATCAGGGAGGGAAACTGGCTCAAGACTATTTATACACAGAGAGGTGATTAGGGAGAGCAGAGGCAGGTGAAACTGATGAGGGCGATTAGAGGAGGAGGGAAACAGATAAAGGGAGGAAGTAAAAGCACACGCGATACACTGGGAAAGGCGGTTTCAAAATAAAACAGGAAGTAGCTGCAGTGGGAGACCGAAAAGAGAACACACAGGGATGAATCAAACAAAACAAAGCTAGAAACCCATAAACTATGAGAGTTCAGTTCTATTATTTATCTTTGAACATCTTTATAAAACATTTCTCACATAACGTGCTGCTTTAGGCTCATATCACCTGTTTGCATTTTGCACGAGTTTAGCATCATGACAAGAAGGATTGGGTCATTTAATGAGAATAAATGGAGAGAAATGGCACACAAATAGCAAAAATTAAATAAAAATGTGCAGCAATAACACAATGACTACCACAATTAATGACACCAACTTTGGATGAGTTATATTTTATAGTCTAAGCCGCTCCATTCCCCTGTGTTTTATGATCTTTTATTTTTTTTTTATACATGTTTCCAACTCTATTTCCCATTAAGTTGTTTAAAAAGCTGCTGAATAAAGATGATTATTATTATTATGAACACTATATATTCCATTCTATTTCCTGTGCTGTCAGTGATTGAATGAGTCCAGGCCCCGCTGTATTACCAGCTTTAAATGGTTAGTGCACACAGAAATTGGAAATGTTGATTTACCGAGCTCCAGTGTCACAGTGTAGACTGAAAAATGTTCCAGTCTGCTTCTCCTTTCACCCAAAACTTTTTCCTTCTCGCGGACAGTCTGGCTGCCAGAAAAACCTCCCCCTGATTGTTTTCTCCTTTTTCCGGTTTCATTCGTTTTCTATCTGTTCTCCTTTGTTATCTCTCGATAAACTTTTCCCCCTCTTCTTGTTCTCTCACGTCTCCTTTCGCTCTCTATTATTTCTTCAGTTTGCACTAACCACCGCTTTGCAGAGGGTTTTTTTTTCTCCTCTCTTTAGTTTCTCTCTCGACATTTTCATTTCCGCTCTTCAAAGACAAGCGAACCTTCTCTGACCCTATTTGTCTTTCTTACACCAAGTCTAGCAGCCAGACGACCGACCTACAAGTCAAAACAAACCAGAATAAAAAAGCTCGTACCACGTTGCTATTCATACATTGGGATTCGTGCATGCCCTAAACATTCTGGTTTTCAGTACTTTTTAAAAATATATATTGGTTTTGATTGAAAAAGTTCAGCTTGACTTTGAGGAGCGAGTGTGTACGAAACAAACAGCAAGTACAGGTTCTGCCGACTGTAAAGACACAACGAAGGCAAACGAATAAAAAACAAACAGCCGCCATGCACACAACCCAGAACACACACACACAGCTTTGCAGGAGTTGTGTGAACGCCGTGTTGTGTGTTGGTTCACTCCAAAGAAGACGCGATTAGAAACTTAAAGCCGACAGTGACTATGTTGAAGTCGGCAGAAGAGAGCACGAGCTGCAGATCATTCAGTTACAGTGCTTCTCATTTATTGAAGTG